TTTCCCGCCTCCCGCCCGCCTCCTTCCTCCTCGTCCACGTCCCTCCCTGCTCCTCCACCTCTTTCTGTCCCTCCTCCTCCGCCTCTCTCTGGCCCACTTCCGCTACCGAACCAGACCAGCAGGATCAAACAACCCTCCTCCTCCTCCTCCTCCGCCTCCCTTTGCCCTCCACCGAGCGGTCTTCCGCTGAAACACCGTTGAACAGCGAACCAAACCAAAGGGAGGAGAACACCGAACCAAACAAACAGGAACACAACAGGGTGAACAAACGAAACAATGAGAACGCTCCACAAACATGTAGTTACATACGTAAAAATATATCTTGGGTAAGTTCCATAAGTTCCTTGCTGCATAACTACCACAAACAACATATGCATACATATGTACATCTGATGTGCAACATGTATGATATCAAACATGCATTCCACGTACATTAGTTGTTGCTCTTAGCACACAACAACCCTAAACTTGTGAGTACAATCCATGTTGTGCGACATTGAGTAGAAATCAGTGCCCTTCAAGTAGAGTTGTAATCACTATAGTCGCTCAACTGCCGACGGATGTATCAGTTCTAATCAAGCGCGAAACAGCATGAAACAGAAATGATGACTCATCTGCCATTGCAAAAATACAGCCCGCTGTACATTCAACAACGGGGGGTCGGCAAATCACGGTAAACCGTACCAGATGTCTCGATCCGCACTGTTTCGAAGATGACGGTGGTCAACACACGGGTCAGACAAAGAACAGGTCGTGGATCCACACACGCACAACCCGTCGTGTGAAATCGATCCGTCCATCTTCACAAACAGTGCTTACAATAAAGGCCTCTCACTTGTGGAGCAGGGAAGTGGGCCTGGTTGTCGGTCTGGCGGCTCCGTGGTCGCCGTCGCCACCCAGCCGCCGCCCCGTCGCCGCCCATCGTCAAGATCTGGCCGTCGTTCTGGCGGCTCTGAGGTCGCCGTGGCCGCCCCGTCGTCGCTTCGTCGGCGCCTGCCGTTTGGGCCTGGCCGTCGGTCTGGCGGTGCCGTGGTCGCCGTCGCCGCCCCATCGCCCCCTCGTCGCCGCCATTCGTCTGGGCCTGGCCGTCGGTCTGGTGGCTCCGTGGTCGCCGGCGCCGCTCTGTCACCGCCTCGTCACATAGGTTGTACCACGTAGGTTCCACCACATAGATTGGCCCCTGTTTACGGCACAACGCATTTGACGCTTAGCGCACCATACATTGCACAACGTATACGGCGCAACGCAGATTGCAAACCATGTGTTGCACAACAAGTGCTACACAACATATGCTGCGCGTCACGCACACTGCACAGCACAGATTGCGACCCACATATTGCACTTTGTTGGCTGCATCACGTAAGCAGCACCGCCGAACGTGCACCATATGGATGGCGCGACATGTGGTGCATCAAAGAACCTGCACCACACGCGTTGCTCTGCAACTTTTATCTTCTTCCCGAAGGGCAAATCCGATCTACCCCCCAGGACTGAACGACCCCCTCTCGCGTAGTGCAAATTACAACTGATTATGTCCCAACGCCCATCTAAGCTATGAGCTCGTCGTGGCCCGGCGAAGATGGCGTCGCACCCCTCCCTCACTCTCTGCAGAGCAACTATGCGCGCGCATCCGTTTGTCAAAAACTATCAGATGTCAAGAACCCCCTGCAACAGACGGGACGCAATGCACACGCGCGCGTCGTCGCGCGCGCATGCCGACATCCTTCAAAAACCTTCGGTGTCGTATGGATTTCGAGATCGAGCGACCCGACAACATGCAGAGACACATGGCTTCGCAACACGAAGTTTCAACAAAAACGTGCGCTCGCGCTCTTGCGGACTCTTAAGGGAATCATCGGTGTGCATCAAATTCATCAAATCCTACGAAACGGACCGCCCGCGCGCGCATGCCGAAATCTTTCGGACGTCCTTGCGAGCGTGCTGCCGCAATAATCCCTTACAACAGACATGACGAAATGCACACACGGGCGCCGTCGCGCGCGCACGCGGAAATCCTTCAAAAACGTTGGGTCCTCACGGGTTTCAAAATCGAGTGCCCCGACAATATGCACACACACACACACGCACGCACGCACGCACGCACGCACGCACGCACGCACGCACGCACGCACGCACGCACGCACGCACGCACGCACACACACACACACACACACACACACACACACACACACACACACACACACACACACACACGCACACACACACACACACACACACGTATATCTGTCTGTCTGTCTGTCTGTCTGTCTGTCTGTCTGTCTATGTCGGTCTGTATGCATTTTCCCCTTACTATGACTGTATTTTCAAGGGCCCCCTCCCGAAATCGGACCCTCCAAATCCTGGGCCCCCAAGACCCTCTGAACCCCCAGATCCGTGGCCCCGGGGACCCCCTGGACGCTCCCGTAGGAGGCACCCCCAGGCGTTTCAGAGTTCCTGGAAACCTTTGCCGGGCCTAGGCGACGGGCCCAAATCGGTCCAGACACCCACCACACGCCCGAAGACGACCAAAACAAGACCCCAAGACGCAGACAAACACTGATTGCCCAAGGTTTTTAATAGGATTTTGGGGACGCCCTGTTCTTCGGAACTGCAGGCGCCCGAGACCGCCTAGGAGGCTCGATGATCGCCCCAAATCCGAAAAAGGCTTCCAGGCAACCCAAGAGAGCCCCAAGACCCAACACGCACAACAGGGTCCCAAGATGGCCCAAGAGAGCCCCAGCGACGGCCCAAGATGGGGCAAAAACGACCTCCGAAACATTCCAGCTCGTGACAGGGAGACCGCGGCTGGAGGAAGGGTGGCCAAATGAAGCCCCCTGACGCCACCAGAAAACGCCCAGGAAACGTCCATAAGGCCGTAAGACAACGTGGAAAATGCTCGTGAAGCCCATGGGGGAATTCCAAGGACGAGCCTCCGCAAAAAGAGCTGAATACGATAGGGAATAATTCGCAGGTCAAGGCGGGAATGGGGTAAACGAACCATGCGATAAAACATATAACGAATAACTTCATTCTAACGGCAATGCCGGAAACAAAGAATATGGTTAAATTGTGTTGGGGCGTTCCTGCACTTCCGCCTGCAAGCCAAATTTCAAAGACCAAGGTGCATGGCGCGAAGCGCTGAAACACTCTTGTATACATGTATGGGTATGCGGATGCATCTGTATATGTATGTGTACGTGAATGTATATGTGTTTGTAGGTGTACATCTATACACACATACAGCGCGGCTTGGCAACGGCAGCTTTCAAAAACACCTGCGCCCGCTTCCCTGCGACTGTTACTAAACCAGAACAATTCGTGTATACGAACATATGCCAAACAGACATTTTTTTTCGCGCCGCTTTTGCGGAATCATTTGAACGCCCTTGCGCGCGTGCTGGGGGGCACGATCCGTGCCAAATACAGCTATGCGCGGCAACGTTCGCGCGTCGGCCACGCGCGCATGTCGAACTCATCCCAAAGTTTTCATCACCGACGCGAGGACGCCGTCATCGCCGTCTGCGTGATCACCACCAGCGCCGTTGACAACGTTGCCATGATTCCGTGCCCGCCCGAGCCGCCGTCTCGCACTGAAGTGCCCGCTGGGAAATGCCCAGCGGTCAGCGTCACCGCGGCCGCGTCGGTCGCGCTAAGCTAACTGGCCGCTTCGTGCGCGGGCATGCGCACTAGCGCGGCCGCGGCGATGCGCCAGCCAACGCCGAGCAAACAACGCTATCGCCGACGCATGGGCTTTGCAAAGCGAGTTGCGGGTGGGTGGGTGGCACGATTGCGCGAACAGTGGAGCTGACAACTTCAACTTCGGCAAGACGGATTGCACAACATAGGCTGTACAACGTAGGTTGCACCACACGTATTCACCCCATTCAAAATCTGACTCGCCACCCCCCAATGGGTTATAAGTTCGGCCTGGGGATTTCGTCTATTGACGATTGAGCCCCATAACCAATAAAAGGTTCGCTCGCTTGTTTCCCACAAATCAACAAATGCCAGAATCCGCTGCAACAAATGAGACACAGTCCACGCGCGCGCGCTGTCTCGCGCGCGTGGCAAAATCCCCCGGACTATCGTAGTAAGGTGTGAAAACAGTCTCGAACGCATGTGGGAACAATCGTTCGCTGTGCAACGTACTTGTTTTGTGTAAAATGCATTCGTACACAAGTATGAATTTCTCTCATTCGACATCTTCAAAAAATGCGACGAAGCGGGCCTAATTATTCGCGCGGGCATGTCGGAATCATTCGAATTCCCTTGCGCGCGTGCAGGGGGGCGGGGGATCAGGATCCTCGGCAAATAATGCCATGCGGGCCACTCGCGCCCGTCAGCCACGCGCGCATGTCGAAATTCTTCCGGAACTTCAAGACCGACGCGTTCACACCATCATCATCACCGGTGTGATCGGCATCGGCGCCGTCATTGGCCGTGGCGCCACCATTGGCATCATTACTGGTCGCACCGTTGTTGTCATCATCGTGTCAGCCGTTGACGGTGCAGCCATGACACCGCGCCCAACCAGGTCACCGTTTCGCACCGGAGCGCCCGCGCGCCAGCGCGGCCTGCGAGACGCGCTGGGAAGTCTCAAGCGGTCAGCGCTATCGCGGCCGTGTCGGCCGCACCAGACTGGCTTGCCTCTGTGCGCGCGATCGTTGGCGAACTAGCACGGTCGCAGCGATGCGCCAGCCAGTGCCAAGAAGTCATCGCAATCGCCGCCGCATGGTTTTGCAAAGCAAGTTGCGGGTGGGTGGGGAGGGATGATTGCGCCAGCAGTGGAGCTGACAACCTCAAATTCGGCAGGGTGAAGCACAACATCGATTCATAGAAACACACCGCTTTGGGCCCACACTGGCTAACATACTTGATGCGATCTGGCCAATAAAGCAGAGACTCCGAGACCAAATGCGAACCTCGAGCCCTCTAATGGTGCTGATTCGGATGGGGGCCGGGAAAGAGAGACATGAACGTGTGGAGGAGGAATGCCTGGCCTTGTCTGCCGAAGACAGCGGGTCTCTCTCCAGTGGGGGCTTCCCCGTGCTGGTCTCCGCGGGGGCCTCCGTGGCGTTCGCGAGCAAAGCATCTGCCTGGCAGCGTGAGCGGTCACACGGGAAGAGCGAGAGGCGCGAGGATGGAAAAGGGGAGGAGGAGAAGGAGGAGGATGAGGGGGAGGAGGCGGCGGAGGAGGAGGAGGCGGACGACGAGGAGGACTCGGAGTCTCATCTCCCAACCTGCGGGATGAGAAGGAGGAAGGAAGGGGATCAAGACTCTCGGGTGTGGCCTAACCGACACCTTTCGTGACGAACCCCATCACCAACGAGGCCCCCCTTCGGCCGCTTGCCAGAGTCTTGGAACGAAAGGATCTGGGGGTCTTCACGGAGGGGGTCGGTGAGCTAGGGGTCAGTCAGGCCGCCCATGAGCATCATAAGGGGTTATCCGATGATCCTCACCCCCTAACCTTTGAGAAGAAGGCGGTGAAAACCAGGAGGATCTGTTCAAGGCTTGATGCAAGTTCGTTCGTTCATGCCTCATTGCTTCGGTCGAAGAACACACATTACACAAACGCACATAACACCCTTGGCGACAACATGACCTAAACAGCGCTTTTCAATACTGGAGATCTCACCTTAGGAGAGCACTATGCATACGGACGAAGACTACACAGTAGTATAGCAAATGCTGCAATATCAATTGCAAGCGCAGGAAATGCACTGAGGGCCAGCAACCGCCTCGTGGTGTCGGCGGAACTGAACGGGCCAAGCACACATTGGGCACAGACAAGTCCTGAGGATCATCGATCTTGGGAGGGGATGTGACAAGAGAGGTCAGATCGAATCGAATAATCGCATCAGGCTTGAATCTAATCGGGCAACAACGGCACGGACTCATGACCGGATCGGATTGGCCGCGCCGAAATGCACAACAACGGCATGCGAACATCGAACCGCATCGGATTGCCGGAATCTCGGAATCGGGTCGGATCGGCGCGGCCGGGACCGGCACCGTATCAGTGACTGCTCGGATCCAAGTGGACCCTGCGACGAGGACGTCGGCGGCCGTCGGAGTCGTCGTCCGCGGCGGCGGAAAGGCGGCCGCGGCATCCATGCCAACCTCGCCGTACAGCGCACGGTTGCGGACATATCGCCGCAAAGCCGCAGCTCGAGAGCTCTTTGGTCTCATCGTGCAGGTCGCCGGCAGCAGTAAGACGAGAATGGCGTCATGGTGCGAGCGGTTCAAGATGTTTCCAAGAATGTTCGTGTATCTGGCTGCCCTCGTTTCTGGAGTCCTCTCCGGAATCAGAAAAGACGTAGGACTTCTGGGGGATCCTGAAACGCATCATTGTCATGATTTCTTGCTCCTCTGGAGGCTTTCCAAATTGTGCCCGAGTAGGTTGGGTCGGAGGATCGCTCCGCATCGCCGCTACATCGCTGCTGCATCGCCAATACATCGCCGATGCATCGGCGACGTCGACGTGGAGAACATCGGGCCCCGCATCGAGCCGCATCACCAAAGCATCGGCGATGCGGCGGGATCCCCCGACCCCATCATCCGCGGAAGCAGAGCGTCGGCGAAAGGCATCCGGTACCAGAGCCGCAGAGTCCTGGGCCATCGGGCCCCCTGTCAGCGACGAGCGGGCGCCGTGAGCCTATCCCCGCCCTGTCGCCGCCCCGCGGTATTCAAATCATTCCTTACGTCGGGCCTGTCCCCCTGTTCAATTGGGGGATTTTGAATGAAAAAATACAAATACCCAAACATACCCAAAAATATTCAAAAATGGTTAAACAAAAATCTACCCCTGACTCTTCTTGGACTATTTTTGACTATTCCCCCTGTAGAGGGACAGGCCAGACTTAAGCCTATCCCCACTCTGTCGTCGCCCCGTGGAACTACAGAAAACCTTAGAGAAACGAACCTCGAACCTCGCGCCCAAACGTTGTCGCTGACTGATTAATATTAAATCGGTCGTGTCCCTCTAAAGGAGGAATATTCAAAAAAAATGCAAAAATGGTCCTGGGACTATTGTTTGATGATATTTGGTTATTATTGTATAGTTTTGGGGCCTTTTTAAATTTTCGTCGACAATCAGCCTGTAGGGGACAGGCCCGACTTACGATGAACACATTTGAGGCGCTGCTCCGCCGGCGGTGCCGCGCTGCTCATCCTTGGGGCAGGGAAAACCCTCAGGAGCCGTCGAAGGCATCCGAAAGCCTCGCCTCGCCTCCTGCGGTTTCGTGTCGTGCCGACTTCAGCGTTGGTTTGTCCGGCATCGCGGGGATCTTCCAAGCTTGAGCGATCGGCCGTTTCCGAAACGTCAGATCGTTCAACGTCGACCGATTCTGGGCCGACGGGGGCGGGGTCGCCGCCAATAGACACCACAAGAGCCTACCGCATCCGCCCTTAGCCGATGCCCCGAGCGCTGCCCCGGGACATCCACCCCCAGACGCCCGTCGGCGAGGCGCGGCTGCTGGAGAGCATCCCGAGAGTGGAACACTGCCGAGGGAGAGCAAAAAACCACCTCGAACCTCGAACCCGAAGCTTCCTCACCCTCCCTGAGCCTAGCCCCATCTAGCCAGAGGCCTCCCGAATGGAGTCCGAGTAGATGGGGTAGGAGGATCGCTCCATATCGCCGATGCATCGGCGACGCCGGCGTGGACAAAAACAAGCTCCACACCGAGCCGCATCGGCGATGCATCGGCGATGCGGCGCGACTCGTGGGCCTCATCCACTTCGACCCATCTACGGCAGGTTCGTGTCGTGCCGACCCCAGCGTTGGTTTTTGACACCGCAGGGATCGTTCAACCTTGAACGATCGGCCGGTGCCGCAACGTCCGATCGTTCAACATCGATCGATTCTGGGTCGCCGGCGGCGTTCAACCTTGAACGCCCGCGCTGGGGTCGCCGCTGGTCGACACGACGCAAACCTACCGTAGGAGGCATGAATCCTCTGAAGCAAGGCGACAGTGAACATACGTGAAAGGACCTGGTAGCAAGTCCGCCGAGTCCTGCGTGGGGTGTGTTATCGGGCCTCTGCCGGCGATAATCACAGGGCGTTGGGGGGCCGATGCGGTTATCCCTCTGCCTGTCTTTCGGGCCACACCTCGGCATGTCTGACCAGACCATGCCCACCTCACGACGTGGCCCACCAGACCCCTGCTGCGACCCAGTCGTCCGCCAATCTGATTTTCTCAATCCGTGGCCCCAGAAGTCCCGACCCCTTCCCCGGGAGGTAGTTTTTTTTCCCGGATCAGTTTCTCGGGTGTTGCTAGAAGTGCCCCTGGCCCAAGGTACCCCCCCAGTTTGTCGCTCCATTTTAGGGCCCCTGGGACCCTCTGGACTTCGTGAGGGGTGCTCTGGAGGCCGTCTGGGCCACCTGGAGAATCCTGGGGGCACCTTGGGCCAGGGGCACTTCTAGCAACACGAATGGTCGTACCCAGGCCGACAACGAACTCCAGGCAAAAACCGCCCGATTGCAAGTTCCCCAATCAGTGCTTGCACTAAAGGGGTCCTAGCGGAGGTTGAAGGAATTGGCGAAAACTTCCCGCCGATTCTGGTAGCAAGCTGGGATCACGGGTTCCCGTTTCCGGGTTCCCGGTCGATCTTCTTATGGATCGGTCTCAACATCGATCTCATTTCCCACCTCTGTATCGATCTCACCATCGATCCCACAATCGATCTCACAATAGATCTCGCAAGCGATCTCACTGGAGATCGCACGAGCGATCCCGCGATCGATCTCCCAATCGATCTCATTGAATCAATGTCAATCGCCCTCCATCGATTCCACTTTCGATCTCATTATCCATCTCAATCGATCTCAAGACCCGTATGATTAGTTCTAAAATCATCCACTGCTTGGGTTTCCTCCGGTATAATATCATGGCCTCGGCTTTTGGGGGGCCCCCGCTTTGAGGCAGGGCGACGGCGGCGGAGCGTCGGCCTGCTCTCAGGAGGCTCAGAAGCTCCCCAGCCTTCTGAGAATCGGGCCGGGCAATAGGGGGGGATAGCAAAGGGGGGGTTTGAGAATCAGCTCACGTAGCTGATTTTACCGGCGCCTCCCGGCGCCGGGAGGCGCCCATGTATCGAGGAATGGGCCCGGCGGCGGGGCCGAAACCAGCTGCATGCAGCAGATTTCGTAACCCCCCCTTTCCCAACACCCCCCTTTCGCCCGACCCGAGAGAAGTTTCCCCAATCAGTGTTTGCACTGAAGGGGTCCTAGAGGAAACTGAAGGATTTGGCGAACATGTCCCGCCGAGTTTGGTAGCAGGTTGGGTTTCAGGGTTCCCGGTTCCGGGCTCCCGGGTTCCCCGTCATTGGCTCCAAGCCGATGTGTGTGGGTTCTAGGTCGCCAGGCTCCCGGGTTCCTGGTCGATCTCCTCAGCGAAAACCATCCACTGATTGGGGCTTTTAACTGGTGCAAATTCTAACTCTTCCCCGGGAGACGCAGGAAACAACTCGCAGAAGGCTGGAGGCCTCCTGAGAAGTCCTTGCCGCCTTCTGAGACGGCCTCTTCCTTCCGGGGAGACGCAAGACTCGGGTTCGGGGGACTCGGGTGCGCCTGACGGGGCCCTCTCGAAAACGACGAGACCCGGCCTGAAATCTGCCTCGAGCTCCTGCGGCAAACATCCAACGAACAAAACTGGACGCGCCCTCCAAAAAACGTCGGCAGCACCCGAGCTCTGGCGCGCTCGAGTATGGCGTTTCCCCGACCCTTCTCGCTCCCCCCCCTCGCTCGCCGCCGACCGGACGCCTGGCCCCCGCCCCCATGCAGCGCCCATGCGCAAAACGAATTCGGAGACCTTGCCGTCCTCTGGCCAGCCGAGGCAGCTCCCTCAAAGCAGCGGCCAGCCAAGGCAGGGCGCCGGCGGCGGAGCCTCGGCCTCCGCGTCGCCCGGCGGGGGCGACGCGGGCAGGAACGCCCACGGGCCCGCGGCGGCCGCGGCGGCGCTGCCGGCGTCGAGGGCGGCGAGCAGGGGCTCCTGCTGGGCGTCGGCGCTCCCCCACCCCGCGGCATCGACAAGGAGGTTGCTTGCCGTGGGCCGCTGCAGGCTACAGTCAGTTCGTGTAAGAGGGGTGCGCGATAGAAGGATGCAGGGGCCTCGGACGGACATGCCGACACTCTGCGTGTGGGGCGCGGCCAGCGAAAGCGGCCGAGGATGGGCCGAAGGGGTACGGATGCAAGAGTAGCCTTGGACAGTCGCCTATCCTTACTGTGCGGGTCGGCTTTAGGCTTTGGTTGACCCATCCGGGGGTCCAGCTGAAAGGTGGTGGTACACTAGATTCGGGGCAAGTGTATTGCAAGCGTACTGCGCCGGAGACTTATACTGCATTGCCCTGCCACGAATGCATTGCACGCGAAAGTCCAGCAATACATTTGCGCACCGGAGCGTACTGCGTGGCACCAGATCAGCTGCACCACCCTCTTTGCGCTGGACCCCGTGTGGTTAAACCAGAAATCCAGGCTCCCTGAAGGACCGGCGAGCAAGGTAACGAGAAGTTGGCGGGCTCACAACGCCCAAGCTGCATGACTAGCGCGCACACTGCGAGGCCAACGCGACCGGCATGAACGACCAAGCTCCTCTTCGGGTAAGGAGGCGCTGGCCGGGCCCCGCGGGTCGAGACAACGGCGGACCTCCCTGGCGCTTGCCGCACGTTCTTTGGCGGGGGGCCCTGGAGGCCTCTCCTTGTGCCGCCCCTCGGACGTCCACTCCCTGCGCGTTTTGTCGTTCTCGCGCGCGCTTCTCGTTGCTCGATGGTCCAGGCTGCGCTCCTCGATGGTGCTCGCCAAAACAAAAAGAAGACACACGTCCGAGCGACGCCAAAGCTCGGAGCCGCGGCTGGGCCCGCCTCGGAAAGCAAGTCTGATGGGCCTGCTTTCCACCACCACCACTACCACCACCAGGAGTTGGAAGGGGGGAGGGAGGAGGAGGAGGAGGAGGAGGAGGAGGAGGAGGAGGAGGAGGAGGAGGAGGAGGAGAGGGAGGGAGGGGGAGGAAAAGGAGAAGGAGAAGGAGAGGAGAGGAGGAGGAGGAGGAGGGAGGAGGAGGAGGAGGAGGGAGGAGGAGGAGGGGGAGGAGGAGGAGGAGGAGGAGGAGAAGAGGGGGAAGGAGGAGGAGGAGGAGGAGGAGGAGGAGGAGGAGGAGGAGGAGGAGGAGGAAAGGGGGAAGGAGTGGGTAGATGAGGAGGAGGAGGAGGAAAGGGGGAAGGAGGGGGTAGAGAGGAGGAGGGGGAAGAGGACCCGCCCCCTCCTACTCATGGTGGTGGTGGAAAACAGGCCCAGCAAAGTCGGGACGGACCCGCCGGAGGGGTCTGGCGGCTGCTTCTGAGCGGGCTCGGGCCAGGCGGGAAGGCCGCCGCTGTCTCAACTGCATGACCCTCCTCCGCTTCTCGAGGCGCTTGAGGCCCCGAGGAGTACAGTGAAATCGGGCCTGCCCCTCGCCAGGAGGAGCATTCATTTGTTTTGCTTATGTTTGAGCATTTTGGGAGTATGTCTTGACTATTTCCCTACCTAGGCTCTGCCTAGAAGGGTTCTTACCCTATATCTTAAAGGGGCCGGGCAGTGGATACCGCCCCGGGCGGTTCCCCCGGCATCCGCCCCGCGGTTCCCCCAGTTGCGCCCCCTGGGTTCACCCAGCTTAGCTTAGCTAAGCTTAGCTGTGCCTAGCCTAGCTTAGCCTACCTTAACTGAACTTAGCTCAGCTTATCTCATATCAGCTCAGCTTAGCTTAGCTTAGCTTAGCCTAGCTTAGGCTTTGCGTTAGCTTTAGCTGTAGCTTCAGCTTTAGATGTAGCTTAACTTTAGCTTAGCTTTAGCTTAGCTTTCGCTTAGCTTTAGCGTTAGCTGTAGCTTAGCTTTAGCTTAGCTTGAGCTTAGCTTTAGCTTAGAGTTAGCTTAGCGTTAGCTTAGCTTTCGCTTAGCTGTAGCTTAGATTTAGCTGAGGTTTAGCGTAGCTTTAGTTTAGATTTATAGTACAGCTAACTTAGTTGTATGTTAGCATTAGCTTAGGTTTGGCTTAGCTTTACCTTAGCTGTAGCTTAGCTGTAGCTTAGATTTAGCTTAGCTTCAGCGTAGCTTTAGCTTAGCTGTAGCTTAGCTTTTAGTTTAGCTTTTAGTTTAGCTTTAGCTTAGCGTTAGCTTAGCTGTCGCTTAGTTCCAGCTTAGCTTCAGCTTAGCTTTGGCGTAGCTTTAGCTTAGCTCTACTGTTGCTACTAATGTTGCTATCCTAGGTGCTCCAACTCCTAGGTAGGGTCGCACTGGGATAATTATAAGCTTTCGCCCAAAACCCGCCTGTAGGGGGACATGCCCGACCTAAGAGTACAGGTCCGAGCAGCGTCCGATGCTGCGGCCCTGCCAGTGGTCCCACTCCACTCGCTTCCGTTTCTCCTCGGGCTCCGCCTGTTCCTCCTCCTCCTCCTCCTCCTCCTCCTCCTCGTCCTCTGGGCCCTGCCCCTCCTGGCCTGCTGCTGCTGCTCAAGGCGAACGTATCCAACGGATGCAGCCCTTCACACATCCCTGCCCCTGCTCCTCCTCGTCCTTGCCCTCGTCCCCGCCCTGCTCCTCCTCGTCCTTGCCCTCGTCCCCGCCCTGCTCGTCCTCGTCCTCCTCCGCCCCCTCTTTTATCAGCCAGGGGGAGGAGGTTGAGGAGGAGGAGGAGGAGAAGGAGGCGGAGGAGGAGAAGGGAGGAGGAGGAGAAGGAGGAGGAGGGGGAGGAGGAGGAGGAGGGGGAGGAGGTGGAGGCTGTCCGCATCAAGCCTGCGTCGGGCATGGCGGTCCCCCGAGGATGCGGCGCACCTTACGTACGGCTTCGGGCCATGGCTCGGGTCTCCAGCGGCCGCTGGGGACGGTTCGGGCACCCCTGCAGAACGCTCTCGGAACGGCGCGGCTGCTGGAGCGCAGCCCGAGGCAGGCAGACGCCCCGGAACAGACGATGATGTGCGATAGCGCGGAGCCGATCATGCTGGGCCTATTCTCGACCACCACCACCACCACCACCAGAAGTTGGAGGGGGGAAGAAGAGGAGGAGGAGGAGGAAGATGAGGAGGAGGAGGAGGAGCAGGAAGAAGAGGAAGTGGAGGAGGAGGAGGAGGAGGAGGAGGAGGAGGAAGAAGAGGAGGAGGAGGAGGAGGAGGAGGAGGAGGATCCCCTCTCCCTTCCTACTTCTGGTGCTGGCGGTGGAGATCAAGCCCACCAGCTCCTGCCCGTGCAGCGGGCTCCCGGCGCAAGCGAGGCCCCTTCGCATCCTGGCCGTGCCCGCTCCTCGTGCCTCCTCCGCGGCCGTCCTCTCTCTTGCGTATGTGCCCCGCTGCGGCGGGGCGCAGCGCGCTGGCCTTTGCGGCCCGCTTCTGGCCTGGACGCGGCGTGGCCACATCGGACGCACGCTAACATGCAGTACGGGTCCGCAGGCTGTGTTCCACCACCTCCACCAGAAGTAGGAGGGGGAGGGGTCCACCTCCTCCTCCTCCTCCTCCTCTTCCTCCTCCTCCTCCTCCTCCTCCTCTTCCCCCTCCCCACACATTCTCCAACTCCGTCCCCCATCCAACTTATGGTGATGGTGGTGGAAAACAAGCCCATCTAAATCCATGGATCGGGGAGGGCGACCCCGAAACCTGGCGCCAACGCCGCCTGTTTCGGTGACGGGGCGGCGTCGATGTCAAGCGGAAGCGGGCACCGTCGCTTCTCCGCGCGCTCTGATCCACGGCTGCGCTTCCTCAAACTTCATACCCAGGCACCCGATGGCTTCATTTTTCCCATGCGGGGTCTCCAAGATAGGGGGCCACATGCGAACCCTACCCCTACCCCGCACGATTTCTGAAGGGGAGGCTGGGGTTCACTTCGTTCGGGAACTCACGAGCGAAGTGCACCCCACCCTCCCCCTTAAGAATCGTGGGGGGTATGGAGAGAGTTCGCATGTGGCCCCCTACAAGAAGTCTTCGGGGCCCTTTTCCCCCGGCTGGTGTGCCACCCCGAATTCTCTCTGCCGGTCCCCGGGGGGCCCGGCGGGGGCTGCCCGAGGCCGAACACTGCCCAGCAGCCTCCGCCGGGCCCCTCTCAGGGCGCATGCACCCCTGGGCAGCCGATGCCTGCCCCTCCTCCTTCCACCCTCCCGGGCCCCCGACGTCAGGATTTGTGTCCACCACGCCGACCCCCAAATGTCTCGACCCCTTCCCCCGGACGGGACCGGGCGCTCGACCCGAGTCGTTAACCGTCCGAGGCTGGAAATCTCAAAACAGAAAAGAACTTATGTTTTTCCATGACTCGCATAGAACAAGAAAAAACAACGCAATAAACATAAACTGTTGGCGCTCCGCGCGGATTTCTTAGATCTGCGCTGGACCCCCCTCTCTGGCACGCGGAGCGCGACAAGGGCGGAGCCGGAGGCGCCGCTGGGAGGGCCCAGCGCGGATCCAAGAAATCCGCGCATCGGCGACGTCGGCGATGCATCGGCGACGTCGGCGCGGAGAACATCAGGCTCCACATCGAGCCGCATGGCCAATGCATCGACGATACGGCGCGATCCTCCGACCCCATCTACTCGGACCACATCAAGGATGCCTAGAGTTAGGCGCCCGAAATATCTGGGGTAACTCGGGTTTGGACTCCCGGAACAAAAAAACGAGTTAGCCCTGACCCGAGTTATCCCTGATGATTCGGGGCTCTGGACGCCCGGATTATCCGAGGTAACTCGGGCCCGGGGCAACTCGGGCTCGGATTCCCGATAAACGAACCCGACTTAGTCCTGCCCCGAGTTACTCCTGATGATTCGGGGCTCTGGACGCCTGGATTATCCGGGGTAACTCGGGCCCGGGGCAACTCGGGCTCGGATTCCCGATAAACGAACCCACGGGCCCGAGAGACGTCCAAGAGGGCGCCGAGATGGGCCAAGAGCGCTCCAAGAGAGCCCAAGACCGCACAAGAGCGTTTCAGAATTGGTCCAACATGGCTTGAGCAGGGACCGTCCGTCCTGACATTCCTATCAACCTACCACGGAATGTTCTTAGAACCCACGAATGTTCCAATAACCAAAACAATGTTCTTAGAACGTAAACCCGACACGTTAGAACACGACAATCTCAGCCAGACATGTTCTAAGAACATCCCGTGCAAACCACAATAGGCTCTTAGCACATTATTTGGTAGGCCTATAGGCGAGCTGGGACGCGTCGCTACTGTTTCAGTGGCTTGAAGACAAGCCCAAGAGCGCTTCAAGATGGCCAAGATGCTCTCAGAAGGACTCCCACAAGGCACTCAGGAGGGGAAACAAGTGGGTTGTTTTTCGAGGGTTAAAAGTTTGTCGTGTTCTCGCTGTTTCGTGCTTCCGATGGCCCAAGACAGCTCACGAGAACCCCGAGAAATCACCTCAGCACGGCCCAAGAGGCACCCAAAGCATGGCGCCTCCTCGCCTTCCATGACGCCATCCTCGCCTTCCGAACCCCCCTCCGGCCGCAGACATACGTCTTGGGGCGAGGCAAGGGGGACGCTACGGAAGGGGATGGTGGATGGTTTGCTGGGGGTCGGTTAGGCCGCCGCTAACTTGAAGACAGCCCAAGAACGGGAGACACCAAAGGGGGGGTTCGAGAATCAGCTCACGTAGCTGATTTTCCCGGCGCCTCCCGGAGCCGGAGGCGGCCATGCATCGAGGAAGGGGCCCCTCGGTGGGGTCGAAACCAGCTGCATGCAGCAAATTTCGTAACCCCCCTTTCCCTATCCCCCTCTTTCGGGCGTTGGCAGAACTGGGTTTAGTGGAACCTGGTTTAGCGACCTGTACCGGGGGCGCCCCCACGTCCCATGTCCACTAGCCGGAACTGCCGTCACCCGAAAAAAGACCAACTATGGCAAACCTGGTTGAGTGCTTCTGGCCAACTCGAAGGCTCCGGGGCCCTACCACTGACCGGGTCCCCTTACCCGGGGTCCTGGCCATACCCCTCTTTCCCCAAACCACCGACGTCATGATTTTTTCATGGCGCGACCCCCAGAGGTCTGGACCCATTCCCTGGGACCGGCTTTTCATCCTGAGTCGTTTTTTGACGGTCCTCAGGGCCGGTAAGGGCCCCTGAGGCCGAAAACAGCGAACAACCTCGCGTCGTGATTTTCTCATGACTCGAGGGGGTCGCTGCGTCGAAACGTACCATAGCTTTCATCTGAGAGAACCAGAGCTCCCTGGCCGGCCTGCAGCTTCAGTCCAGTCCAGAACTTCATCGATGCAAGCCGACGTGTGCCTCTTATTGTTCGAGTTCTTCGATCGTATCTGCCGATTTGTGTCATGTTTTTTTCATGACTCGAGGGGGTCTGGGTCGTTCGGCCCGACACGAGTCGACACGAGCATGGCGCCTCCTCCTCCCACCCTCCTCCTCCTCCTCCTCCTCCTCCTCCTCCTCCTCCTCCTTCATGACTCGAGGGGGGTCTGGGTCGTTCGGCCCGACACGAGCACGGCGCCTCCTCCTCCCACCGCCGCGCGCCGCCCACCGGGCGGGCCGGCTGGCCGGCCGGCGCCGCCGCGTCCTGGGCGGCGGGACGCGGCGCCGGCGGCGAAGGGGGCGCAGGGGGCTGGTCTCTGGAGGGGCCCACAGGGCGACACAGGAACAGGAGGAGGAGGAGGAAGAGGAGGAGGAGGAGGAGGAGGAGGAGGAGGAGAAGGGGAGGAGGAGGAGGAGGAGGAGGAGGGGAGGAGGAGGGAGGAGGAGGAGAGGAGGAGGAGGAAAGGGTGGGGGAGGAGGAGGAGGAGGAGGAGGAGGAGGAGGAGGAGAGGAGGAGGGGAGGGGGAGGGGGAGGAGGAGGAGGAGGGGGAGGGGAGGAGGAGGAGGAGGAGGAGGAGGAGGAGGAGGGTGGGGTAAGGAGGAGGAGGAGAGGAGGAGGAGGAGGAGGAGGAGGAGGAGGGGGAGGAGGAGGAGGAGGGGGGGAGGGGGAGGAGGAGGAGGAGGATGAGGGTGGGGGAGGAGGAGGGAGGAGGAGGAGGAGGAGGAGGAGGAGGAGGAGGAGGAGAGGAGGAGGAGGAGGAGGACGAGAGAGGAGGAGGAGGAGGAGGAGGAGGGGAGGAGGAGGGGGAGGAGGAGGAGGGGGAGGGGGAGGGGGAGGAGGAGGAGGAGGAGGAAGGGTGGGGTAAGGAGAGGAGGAGGAGGAGGAGGCAAGGGGGAAGGAGGTGCTGAAGGAGGGGGAGGAGGAGGAGGAGGAGGAGGAGGAGGAGGAGGAGGAGGAGGAGGAGGAGGAGGAGGAGGAGGTGGAGCGGGCGAGCGAGCGAGCGAGCGAGGGGCACAGGGAGACACAAAGACATGGATTTGCCATATGTTTCCTGATTTTGCCTGGGTTGCCCTCTGCCTGCCCCTCCGATACTTCCCAGATGCCATCAGATTCTCACTAGAGAGTGAGGGTCTGTGCGTGTGTCGTGCTTCTTGTTCCCTTCCTGCTTCCCCCCGCCGCTGCTGCCCCAGACGTGCTCGCGTCGTGACAACAAAAATCCCGACGGAAGGTTTTTACGGCTGTTTTCTCGGCCTCCGCGCTGGGGGCGTCCAGGAGGAGGGCGCCTTCAAATCATGAACTCCTCCACAGAAGGATTCGTATAGACATCCTCCAGGCAAGGATTCGCGTTGAAACCGTTCACGACAAGGAGACTTAGGCGGTTGCAATCCAAACCGATGTAACCAAATACGCTGCAAACCAAACATATTGGCGCAAACTCGATGGAAAGCAGCCGTGGCAGGCGGAGGTTTGAGCCGAGCGCAGGTGATTTGACTAGGCGTCGGCAGTTATGTCTGGTTGGGGGACGCCTCAGTCGCTCGCGCTTGCCTTTACTGAGCTTACGGGGGTTTGGAAAGAATGCGCGTGCACGTTTTGCACTGATCGGCTGCATGCGCAGACGCAGGCATACATATGCGAGGATGTGCCACGTTTGAAGTGGGGCAGTTCAGATGGTGAGGCTCTCAAGACAAGCAGAGGGGGCCGATATGCCCGCGCGCCCGAAAAGTGTCACGGCGTCACGCCGACAATGCGTCACGACGTATCGAGTGTCCACAACAACACCTGGCACATTTATCATACCACATACACTATGGCATAACAAAACCTGTCCCAACAACGCATACCATAACATACCATGGCACCTCGACACATGCCATATCACAACATGCCCGCGCAAAACATGTCATCGTGTATAACAACATACCGTAACATACGGCACCATGCTATGCCATATTGGATCATAGCGGAGCGCATTGTACATTCGCATGCCATGCGACAACAGGGGCAACGCATCTAATACAACATAATGGTGTTGCAACACTGCGAAGATAATCCCATACTATACCGAAACATTCAGTAGCATACGGCAAAAGGCACAAGCACGACATACCACATCATGGCACATCACTGCCTAGCCGAACATAGCATAACATGACAGACCGTACCATACCCGTTGGTCGCAAGAAGTGGGTAAGACACATGACGTAAAACATCGTTGGACGTCGATTGGACTTCCACTCGCCCCATGAAGAAGAACGAAGCGGTGAAACCACTTGATCATTCAAGTAGGAAAAAACCCAACGTAGATTTCGAACCGGAAATGCAACATTACCTACTCTCAAAGACCCATCGGTAACCAGACACAACATCACAGTATGCATCATGACATACTTGCACTATTCCGGGGCGTAACGATGCGTAATAACAGGACATGCCATCACATAACATATGTTATACCACTGCTACCACGCTACGGCTTTAAACATGGTGTACGATTAACGGACACATCACACATGACCAGGATGATCGTACCAGGCTGGAACATGGCATGATGGAATGAACATTGAGCATACAATGGCAGAACCGATAATGCCATACCACAACATTACAGTACTGTCACGAACGGCATAACAGCGTATACCATGACCTAACAGGGCACACCATACTTTGAGAACGACTGCTACCACTGCTGCAACGACTAAGCATCGCACAATACGGTACACCATAACTGCATAATCATCTCATACCATGCCGTAACATATAGCACTTCAGCAATACACAATAGAGAGTAGCACACGCAGTGTACACAATGAGTTACCGCCGAACAGTGAAGAACCTAATTATAGATGGCTGTACCACGCCAGAACACACGGCACTACCATGACTATAAAGACACGTAACACACCATACATGGTGTATACATCAATCACATGCGAGGTTGGATTTTTGTTACGAGCGTACCATGGGACATACGTAGAATTACACTATCGGACTACGAATGCAATGCGATTAACCCATAACAAATAATACGATTATATGAAACTTATGACTGCGTTAGCAGAGTGCCACAGGGGACTGTAACTTTAACAAGACACAATATTAGATGTCCGAACATAAACGAGCACACCATAGCCTACCAACAACCTTACGATTGCACCACGTTGCCGACTCTTGTGGAGTCGCATATCACGTACTAGTCGAACGTGGCAAGGCAGTGTGGCAAATACTCCAGCTCAACATCATGAGCGAGCTCCGCTCATAACCTACACGCGATTCACGACACTAGAATACCCCACCGTCGAGCATGCCTGCATATCGGCCGCCGTGCCCTCGAAGCACGAGCTAGAGCGCCCCGAGGTCCCTTGCCCCATCCCCTCTGGGGCCTCTGGCGCCTCTTGCCGCCCCCTCGAGGGTTTCCCTGACGGGTGCCTCGGGGCAGTGGGTATCTCTCTCCTCTCCTCTCTTCCCCTGCTCCCGCGCACGCTGTGCTTCGTACGACGTCCTCAAAACTCAAGACTGTTTTTTTCCGTGCACGTGCGGCTCGCTCATTCCGCCGAGAACTCTCGAAATCCACCCAGGATTCAATGCCAAGGCTTTGTGGCCAGATCATTCCTCAACCCTGAGGACTACAGGGCAGTTTTTAATATTTTAATATATTATATATATATATATATATATATATATATATTATTTATATATATATACTAGAACCACGCGCGCGCTTCGCGCGCGCTTAGGTTCTAGCTAGGAGGCGAGCTTGAGTCAACGAAAGTCGCAGGGAAGGGGGCAGGGGGAAGAAGGCCAGAGAGCGCTGAAGGATACAAATACTGGAACCCTCTTGTGATTTTGTGGGGGGCCTCGTCCGGCCGCTCGCTGGGAGTTTGACGTAGCTTCTCGGGAGCCTCTGAACCTGTCGGGGGCCTCCTGGAAGCAGGTTTGAAGCATTTTGGGGGCCGATTTGGGGCTTCTCGGGGCCTCCTTTGGGCCTCTTGGGGGTCTCCTGGGGCCTCTTGAGGGGCCTCCTGGCGGCCTCTTGGGGCGGAAGGCTCGAGCTTGCGGTTCGTGGTCCCCCTCTGGGCCCCCTCTTGGGCCCGTCTTGGGGCCCTCTTGGGCCATCTTGGGCGCCTCTTGGGCCGTCTTGGGGCCCTCTTGGGCTGTCCTGGGGCCCTCTTGGAAGCTTCTTGGGCCGTCTTGGGGCGGTCTTGGAGGCCTCTTGGGCCGTCTTGGACGCGGTGAAAGCCCAAGATGCGAACATGCGAAAAATATACGTTTTCCCATAGAAATGGCACGATTTTTGTTTCTTGGACCTCTCTTGGGGTGCCTCTCGGAACGTCTTGGGGTGCTTTTGGAAGCCTTTTGGCGCCTCTGGGCGGCGTTTTGGCGCCTCCTGGGATATGTTGGGCCGGAAGCTCGGAATTCGAGAGTGGCTTTCTCCTTCTGGGACCCCTCTCGAAGTCGTCTTGGGGTTCTCTTGGGCCGTCTTGGGGCCGTCCTGAGCCACTCGTGCGCAGCCTTGGAGCGCTCCCGGAGGCCTCCTAGGCCGTCTTGGAGGCCTCTTGGGCCGTCTTGGACGCGGTGAAAGCCCAAGATGCGAACATGCGAAAAATATACGTTTTCCCATAGGAACGGCACGATTTTTGTTTCTTGGACCTCTCTTGGGGTGCCTCTCGGAACGTCTTGGGGTGCTTTTGGGAGCCTTTTGGCGCCTCTTGGCGGCATTTTGGCGCCTCCTGGAGCCTCTTGGGCCGGAAGCTCGGAATTCGAGGTTGGCTTTCTCCGTCTGGGACCCCTCTCGAACTCGTCTTGGGGCTCTCTTCGGCCGTCTTGGGGCCGTCCTGGGCCACTCGTGCGCAGCCTTGGAGCGCTCCCGGAGGCCTCGTAGACCGTCTTGGGCGCCTCTTGGGCCGTCTTGGACGCGGTGAAAGCCCAAGAGGCGAACATGCGAAAAATATACGTTTTCCCATCGGAATGGCACGATTTTTGCTTCTTGGGCCTCTCTTGGGGTGCCTCTCGGAGCGTCTTGGAGGCTTCTGGGACCTTCTTGGTGTCATGACAGGCGTCTTGGAAGGCATCTGGAGCCATCGGAGCGCGTTCCGAAGCCGCCTGCGAACGATCTTGTACGGCGTCCGGCGGTCCGACGAGCCTCCGGGCCCCCCGGGGCCCACATTTGTGGTCGGGATCCCGGCCCCAGGCCCCCGGACCCGGTGCGCCGTTATATGTATATATATACATATATATGATCTTTAAGAATGATAAATGTATGAATAAGTATATGCATGAACTCCCCGCATTCTTAATACATGATCCGCACGCGGAGCATGTATAACAAACGGCACTGTATTTCGAGGCGCCCGGGCCCCACAGCCTCAGACCCCGCGGGGGCTCCTCGCGTGGCTCCCGGCCGGCGGCCAGGGGCCCGGCGCGCCTCCCCGCACGACTCCTCGGGGGGGCCGGAAGGAGGGCCCCACGACGGGCCAAGAGGGCCCCAAGAGGCCCCCAAGACTGAAGGGGCCCACAAACACACAAATAAATACACACAAATAACAGGAGTCCCCATATTTTCCTATATTTTCTGGGTTTTTGTCTTTTCCCCCACTTCCCATATTTTCCCATATTTTCTGGGGAATCGACGATTCATTGTGTCTGTGTGCTTCTTTCCCTCCTGAAAGACGGTCGCAAGAGGGCCCCGAATCGTCGAAGCATCGCTCCCGGACGCCCGAGGTGGCCTCCCCAGAGTCGGCCGAAGCAGCGCCCGAGGCGCCCCAGGAGACATGCAGGAGCACCCCCGCCAGGGCCCCGAGAGGCCAGCGTCACCGACCCGGGCGGCGAGAGGGGGGAGGAAATGAGAAGGAGATAGCCTTCTCAGAGATGAGAGGGGAGGAAATGAGAAGGAGACATGCAGGAGCACCCCCGCCAGGGCCCCGAGAGGCCAGCATCATTGGCCCCGGCGGCGAGAGAGGGGAGGAAGTGAGGAGGAGATGGCCCTCTCAGAAGGCGGCGGGACTTCCGAGAAGCCCTCCGACCCCCCAGGGAGCCCCCTGCGCCCCTTGCGAGCCCTCCGAGAGCGCCCGCCCCTTCTCACTTCCCCCCCTCGCTCGCCGCAGGTGTTTTCCGCTCGGCCTCTCTCTCTCCCCGTCGTTCAGACGTCTATTCCCTGTGTTTTTTGTTCGCTGTCGTGCGTGGCTTTTTCGCAGGATGCTCCAGGATGCTCCTTAAGAATCCCCACCGAGAAAAAGTGCACACGTCCGAGCGATACCAAGCTCTTTCCCCCGCATCGGTCGGGCCTCGACGGTCGCGCGGAGAATCGCGAGGCAGGCGGTGCATTGACGGGGGCAGGTCCAGAGACCCTGCCGAGCGCCCGCGGAGCCCGCGCAGCCCTCGGGGACTGCTCGGGCCTCGCCGCCACCCTGCAGCGGGCAGCGGCGGCCATAAATCAAAAGCCCCCCCTCCAACAAGGCGAACGGCGGGGCCGCACGTCCTCGGCACCCTCGCCTCCTCCTTCTCCTCCTCCTCCTCCTCCTCCTCCTCTTCCTCCTCCTCCTCCTCCTTCTCCTCCTCCCCCTCCTCCTCCTCCTCCTCCTCCTCCTCCTCCTCCTCCTCTTCCTAGTCCTCCCTCGTCCTCCTCTTCTACCGCCACCTCCGATCCGTCCCTCCTGCTCCTCCTCCTCCTCCTCCTCCTCCTCCTCCTCTTCACTTCCAGCGCTCAGCAGCAGCCCTTCTTCTTCCCAGACTTGGTCTTGACCTTCTTGCTCCCACCCTTGCTCTTCTTCTCCTTCTTGGACTTCTTGTCGCCCACCGCGCCAGTCACCGCGTCGGTGGCGGCGCCGACCGCCTCCTGGGCCGCCTCCACGACGGGCGCCCCCCCGCCCATGGCCGCGGCGTCCGCGTGTATCTCGTCCTCGGTCACGGGATGCCCCGCCATGAGCTTCTGGAACAGCTGCGGAGAGATGTCCGACCAGCCATAACTGGGGGAGCTGTGGTCCTTACCCCCCCTGGGGGAACCCATCGCCTCGACGATCTCTCGAGATGGGTGTCGAAATCGATGGGTCCCCCAGGGGGGTAAGGACTACAGCTCCCCCAGATGTGGCTGGCCTGAATGTTCATGCGCTGAGGCTCCGCAGGCGCCGCGTACATCAGCTCCTGCTGGGGCTCCATGGGGATGCCGGCCGACATCGCTCGGCTCGGCGTGTTTCTCGGGCGAGGCGGGGGCGGGCAGAAGGCACCCTGCGGAAGGGGGCAACGGAACCACGATGGCTCGGGCGGAAACGGCTTGAGCCAAAATGGCTAATTGCCTTTCGGTCATTCAAGGATTTGGGCGTTCTCGCTCGCTCGGCTTCCCGACGCTCCAGGACGGCCCCAAAGATCACTCCAAGAGGCCTCCGAGAGGGCCCCCAAGTGGCCCAAAGGGGCCCCGAGACGGCGCAAGAGGCCTCCAAGACGCCCCAAGAGGTCCCAAGACGACTGCAAGAGGAGGCTAAGACGGGGGACCCGAACGGACATTTCGAGCTCTCGGCCCTAAGAAGCCCCCACCAGGAGGCCCCCAGGAGGCCCCGAGAGGCCCGAAGAGGCCCCCCAAGAAGCCCCCGAAAAGCTCCCAAGAGGCCTGAACACTGCCCCCCGAGGCCCCCAAGCCATCCGAAGAGATCTCAGGAAGCATCCCTGAGAAACCTGACACACAACCCAAGCACGATGGCCGGATGGGCCGAAGGCCATTTGACCTGCTTGGTACAGGGACTGAACGCGCACTCAACTTGTGAGGACTCAAGGTGGCTGGCTTGTCCGTTCTTCCTACTCGTATCTCCTATCTTCCCCTCACCAGTGTCTCTTCCTTGGGGAGTCTGGGGTTTGTTTTGGGCCGTCCAAAGAGACTCTCGGACCGTCGTAGGACCCTCTAGTCGTCTCGGAACGCTTTTGGGAGTATATTGGGCCGGAGCGATCGCGGCGGCTTCTTGAGCTTGAAGATGAGAGACGCTATAGAACATATATCTAATGTGTGCCTCCTGAGGCCATCTCGGGGAAACTCTTGGAGCCATCTTGGGCCTATTTGGAAATCCTTGGGCCGTCTCGAGGCCATCTTTGGCCGTCTGGCGGGCCTCTTGGGCTGCCTCAGGCCTCTTGGGTCCTGTTGAGCCGTCTTGGAAGAAATATTGGACTGTGCTGGGCACTCTTGGAGACCACCTTGAGGCATCTTGGGTTATGGGCCGTCCCGTCGGCATCCGTTTGGACGTCTTGAAGAATTCCAAAACGAGACCAAGACGAGTTTGAGACCATCTCACTTATTTGAGGATGCTCCTAACGACATCGCAATGTTTGAATCCATATTTGTTTGACCGTCTTGAGCCCACTTCGAGACCAGCTCGGGGCAACATTGGGCCGTCTAGGAGCCATCTCGGTCATTATGTCTGACCTCTGTTGGGCCGCTTAGACGCCTTCCAAGAGAGATTCCAAAACGATTGTGAGAACATGTTGTTTCGAAGGTGCCCCTAGCAACATGCCCATGTTGTGCAGGAACGAGCGTGCTTTCGAGCCTCAGCGATCCGTCAGGGTCCCAGGGCCCGAAACGGTGCAGAACACCCGTCGCAGTTCCTCCGCGGCTCCCTCATCTGGTGGGGATACAGCGAAGACGCGACGGCGACGGCGACCGCGACGACGATGCGACGACGACGACGATGACGCGACCACGGCAATCTAAGGCGAAACAACAGTTCAACAGAGCTCATGCCGACAGCAAGCCGGGCCCTCTGTGAGCAGGCGGGCCCGAACGACGTGCCCGACGCCGCGGCCGTGCTGGAGCTCCCCGGAACGCTCCGAGAGCGCTCGGAGAACGCTCCGAGAGCGCTCCAGGACGCCCCGAAGCGATTCCTCTTCACCCTGGGCCTGCCTGACGCACTCCGCCTGTCGAGCTCCTCTCCCTGGCATGGCGCGAGCGGGTGCCGAGGAGAACCTGGGCTCTGGGGGGGTCCCGGACCTTGGGGCTTTCCCCCAAGGCCAGCGCCTCGTCCCGAGCCCGCTGCAGGCAGCCCCCCGGCTCGTGGAGGGCACGTCTGAGCGATAATGCCGGCCCCAACCTCGGGGAGACGTGAGACTCGGGTTCGGGGGACTCGGGTTGGCCTGACGGGGCCATCCATGAAAATGACGAGACCCGATCTGAAATTTGACGCGAGCTCCCGCTGCAAACATCCCACGAATGCCGGACCGTCAAAATCCAGGACGCGCTCCTCAAAAAACTGTCGGCAAACCCGAGTTTTGGCTTACTCGGGTCTCATGCTCACCACCACCGCCACTCCCCCGCCCTCCTCTACCCGCCTCTTCCTGTCCTCTTTCCTGGGAGGGGGAGGGGGGGTGAGGGAGGTGGTGATGGCGTACAGTTCTGGGCGAGGCGGCGTGAGCGACCTCAAGGCCCGCTTCCCTCAGGACCCTTCGGCGAGAAGCCGTGAACAGCCTCGGGGCCCGCTTCCCTCAGGACCCCTCTCCTCCCGCCGAGGGGCGCGATTTCTGCACCCGGTGCCTCGGGCGGGGGCGCCGACGGGGGGGCGTCAAGGAGGGGGTGTCCGCCCATCGTGGCCCGAGGCACGTGCGCGGGCGAGGGGGAGGGGGGAGGGTCCAGGCCGGGGAAAAAGAAGATGGGGCCATGGAGGGGGCCGCCGTAGGCCCCAATGGGAGGGTCCACCTGCGCCTCCCCGCCCATTTCGGCACACTCCTCGCACGTCTCGTTATACCCCACAGGGAGCGCCACGGAAGACGAAGACGATCGTCACAGGCGCAGTGCCCACAACGTTTGAGGGACATCTGGGGAGCTCTCAACGGGGGAGATGTCGACCCCTCTCCCAGGCTTCGCGCGGCAGTTCGACGGGGCCCCGCCTCAAGGGCCCGACCCCGGGGTACACGATAGGGTCTCAAGTCGGGCCTGTCCCTCTGCAGGGGATTCTGGGCGAAAAATTAAAAATACTCGGAACATTCTCCAGACGTGCCCCAAGATAGCCCCAAAGTCGTCCCCAGGCAGGCGATTTTTTGGCTATTTTGGAATATCCCCCCTGCAGAGGGGCAGGCCCGACTTAACGACAGCGGGGGCGTGCGTCCTCGAGACGGGGCGCGTCCGAGGAGCCCCCCCTTGGGGGTGCGGGGCTCCCCCTCCGTTCCCGAGCGGCTTCCTTTCTCGTCGAATCGTCGGGGCTTGGGGGTGGTAATAGACTGAGAATGTTCTTCGGGTGCGGGGTTGCGGCTTCCTTTCTCGTCGAACAGTCGGGGGTTGGGGGCGAAAATGGACTGAGCATTTCCTTTGGGTGGAGGGCAGAGGGTGTGCATCTGCTTGAATCTGCTTGCATCCGCTTCGATGGATGTTCGAGCCTTGAATCTGCAAAAGGCGAGCAACAGAACGGATTGATTTCCGAGGTGCAGAAGCCCATATGGATTTCACCCTGAGCCCTCCACCCTAAGAACATACTCAGACAGAGGCCTCCTGGATGGGGTCCGAGTAGATGGGGTCGAGGGATCTCGCAGCATCGGCGATGCATCGGCCCTGCACTGGCGGTGTTGGTGATGCATCGGCGGCGTTGGCGTGGAGACAATCGGGCCCATACCGAACCGTATCGCCGATGTATCGTTGATGCATCGGCGATGCGGCGCGATCCTCCGACCCCATCTACTACGACCTGATCTAGGAGGCCTAGAGTTATTGTCGGGCCTGTCCCCCTACAGGGGGATTTTGGGCGAAAAAATCCAAAAAGGCTAAAACATACCCCAAAACTGCTCAAACATAGACAGCAGATCGTCCCCAAACTATGTTTGAACTATCTTTAAAAATTCCTCCTGTAGGGGGACGGGCCCGACTTAAGCCTAGAGAAGAACTCGCCTGATAGCCTCCATTCGGCGGTGGACAAACCTCCCTTCAGTAGACCTCCCATTAGTGAAACCGGCCTGGGACCGAAACCGACGGACCTGGACCCGCAAAATTAACGGCCGCGACGCCCTCTCGCGAACCGAAAACGACCAATTCCTTAATCGACGTGTCAGGGTAGGAGGTCTGTCCACCCCCGATTCATGGCCCCCGCCACCGGCGCTGTATCCCTCCCCCCCCGCGTGGACGCCCCGATCGGCGGCGCGGCGAGGGGGGCAGGCCTTCTCTCGGGGAGGCCTCCGGGCCCCGGGCTTCTGGGAAGCTTCCCGGGCCTCCTCCAACGCCGCGCAGGGCCGCTCAGAAGGCCGAATGACCTCTGGGAAGCCTGGGCGCCTGATCTTGAGAGGGGGAGTGGGACGACGGGAGCGGACAGCAGAACGGGACCTCCAGCACTCCCAGCCTGTCGCACGACCTGGATGAGCATTTGCCGCGCACGCGGGTGCAGCAGTGAGGTGCACCGCCCCTGGGGGCAAACAACCAGCGAACAACTCGTGTGCTACACATGTGGTCGCAACGCCACTGAGGACGGAGGGAAAGGATGGGGGGAAACGAGCGAAGTGAACCCCACCCTCCCCCTCAGAAATCGTGGGGGGTAGGGGTAGGGTTCGCATGTGGCCCCCAAATTGGACGGCATCGGCACGGAGTCGACATCGAATCGAATCGGTGGCGCCAGGATGCACAGCAGCGCTGTGCATGCATCGGGCCGCATCTGGATCGCCGAAATATCTCGCACCAGGCGGACCCAAATCGATACTGGATCGGATCGGTCGGATCGGAATCGACTCTGGGCGTCGTCGTCGTCGTCGTCGTCGTCGTCGTCGTCGTCGTCGTCGTCCGTCGTCGGTCGTCGGTCGTCGGTCGTCGTCGTCGTCGTCGTCGTCGGTCGTCGTCGTCGTCGTCGCCGTCGGACCGGAAGCGACTCCGGGCGGGCGCGGGCAGGGCCTCCACCTCGGGCCAGCCGCGCTCCCTCGGGGGCCCGGCGGCCTGAGCGGCCGCAAGCCGGGCCTCCGCCGCCTCCGCCGCCTCCGCCCAGCCGCGCTCCTGCAACGCCTTGGGGCGGGCCGCCTCTGCACACGCGTGCCTCGAGCGGCTCCTGCTGCTGCTGCTGCTGCGTTGCGCACCAACCACAGTAAATGCTCCGCTTCGCAGGGTGCTGACAATGGCCCCGCCCTCCTGCTCCTCCTCCGCTTCCTTCTCCTCCTCCTGCTCCACCTGCTCTTGCTACTCTAGCACCCCTTGCCCCCCTTCCTCCTGCTGCTGGTACATACTGCTGGTGGTGGTGGTGGTGGTGCTGCTGCTGCTGCTCCTTCTCCTCATGCTCATTGTCTATGAAGGCTATGCAGGCGCTCTCCCACTCCTCCTCCTCCTCCTCCTCCTCCTCCTCCTCCTCCTCCTCCTCCTCCTCCTGCTCCCTCCACCTCTTCCTCCCTTTCCTCCCTTTCCTCCCTTTCCTCCCTTTCTTCCTCCTCCTCCTCCTCGGGTCTACCACGGGTCTATCGCGGTCCGATAACGAGAACAATGCTCCGATAACACAGGACTGACGTCTGACCCCACAGCACTGCACAAGACAACGCAAACACGATAGTGGTATTACGGCATTTGCCAGTGGGCATATTGAGAGGGGACCTCTGCGGGGGACAGACTTAGGCGGGGAAGCATCTGCCTGGAAGCGCCAACACATCGCCGATAGATCGGCGATAAACCCCGACAACAAATCCACACTTCTTTGGCGGGTTGTCGGGCTGTCGGGCTCCCATCGGCGATCAATGGGCAGTCCGGGGTCGATGCATCCCCCTGAGCCTATCTCCACCCTGTCGTTGCCCCCTCGTTCTCGGGTCATAACTCAGCTCTGCAGCGGCCGCTCGGGACGATCTGGACATCCCAGGAACGCCTTCGGCGAGGCGCAGCTGCTGGAACGTACCCCGAGGCTAGCAAACTTCTGGGAGCCGACGAAAACGTCCGAATATCTGGAACCTCGCCTCAAGCCCCATGTCCGGGCAGACTGAGAGGTACCCATACTGCTACTCCACAGACCTCTCCCAGGGTGCGTTCTGACCCGAATTTCCAGTCGATTCACGGTGGCGAAGAGGGCCTCCCGAGAGGCCCCTGAAAAGCGAAAACGAGGCGAGGGTATCGGCATCGCGGTATCGGTCCTTCATCCCTCTCTGAATATCCCCCCCCCCTGAGCCTGCGCCCCCCCCGACGTTGCTTCCGACGCCCCATCGCCTCCGCAGGCAGAGCCGGCGTGGCGCCGCCGAGCGACCCAGCGGGGTCGTGCGGGCGGGGCGCGGACTGCTGCGCCTCGCGCAGGGCCTTTTGCAGAGGGAGACACGCATGAGACTCGCTCGAATTGGCCTCCTCCGCCTCTTCACGCCTCTGACGCCGCCGCGTCTCCCCTCCTCCTCCTCCTCCTCCTCCTCCCTCCTCCTCCTCCTCCTCCTCCTCCTCCTCCTCCTCTCCTCCTCCGCCTCCTCCTCCCGTTCCTCCTCTCCTCCTTCTCCCTCCGCCTCCCCCTCCTCTCCTCCGCCTCCTCCTCCTCCTCCTTCTCCCTCCGCCTCCCCCTCCTCTCGTCCTCCTCCCCCTCCTCCTCCTCCTCGTCCTCCTCCTCCTCCTCCCTCCGTCCGCCTGTCCCTCCTCCCTCCTCGTCGCCCCCTCTCCTCCCTCCTCCTCCTCCTCCTCCTTCTCCCTCCGCCTCCCCTCCCCTCCTTCTCCTCCTCCTCCTCCTCCTCCTCCTCCTCCTCCTCCTCCTCCTCCTCCTCCTCCTCGTCGCCCTCCTCCTCCTCCTCCTACTCATCATCATCCTCGTCCTCCTCGTCCTCCTCCTCCTCCTCCTCCTCCTCCTCCTCATCCCTCCGCCTCCCACCCCTCCCTCCGCCTCCCCCTCCTCCTCATTCCTCTGCCCTCCTCGCAGGGACTCGAGATGCGCCCGCTGCTTGCGGCATCCTGCAGGATGTACGGCGAGGGGGAGCGCAGGAGGATGACGAGGGGAGGGAGGACGAGGAGGAGGGTCGAGGAGGAGGAGGAAAAAGAGGAGGAGCAGCAGCAGCAGCAGCAGCAGGTGGAGCAGGACCCCAAGGAACACGCCCTCGATCGCACGTCCATTCCCCATGCATGTTTTCGGTCTCGTGCGCTTATTCTCGCACGGTGATCCGGGATGCTCATCAGTGGCCCCAACCGAGAATCGGTCGCGCGTCCCAGCGATGCCAAGGAAACGGGCGGGATGAGGTATGAGGGGGGAGGAAGGAAATACGTAAGAGGAGAAGGAAGAGAAGGGATAAGGAGGGCAAAACAAGACAAGAGCTGGATTGGCCTGACGGGGCCGTCAAGAAAATGGCGAGACCTGGTCTGAGATGTGGCGCGAACTCCCGCTGCAAACATCCCGCGAAAACTGGACTGCCAAATTCAAGACGGGTCCGTCAAAAGGCGTCGGCAAACCCGAATTCTGGCGAACTCGAGTTGCACGTTTCCCTGATGTGTTCAGGGGGGGGGCTGCGGACTGTGGGCTGCTGCTGCTGCTGCTACTGCCAGGAGAGCCCAGAATCGAATCGATAAGTCGGATCAGCAATCGAACTGCATCCGATCGGCGGAAATCGGCAGCCGAATCGGGAGAAGCCGAATCGGCGGACAACGGCAGGCGAGTAGGCCTCCAATACGAAATCGGAGCCCACATCGGAATCCCAGGTCGAATCGGATCGGCATCGGAAGCCATCGAAATCGAATCGACTCGAATCGGAAGGATCGAAATGAGTATCCCGTCTTCCCCCAAACATGCTCGGATTGTGACCAACAGTCTCGGGGGCGGCCAAGTGTGGGGCGTCCAAGAGGGGAGGGGTGCAAATCACGGCCGGCGGCATGTGCGCGGCCCAAAGGGGGGGCCCGGGACGTGTTGAAACAAGCAGAGGCGCCATGAAATCTCGGGAAATATCATGGCCCCCGCCATGATACCCACCCACCCCCCTAGTCCTCACCCCCCTCTTTGCCGCCCCTCTTTGCGCAATGAAATACTATGGGGAAATATCATGGCCCCCGCCATGACATCCCCCCCCCCCTAGTCCTCAACCCCCTCTTTGCCGCCCCCAAGCATGCTCGGATTTGTGGCCAGCAGTCGCGACGCGGAATGAGGGGCCGGTCATGACCCCCCTGATATCCACCCCCCCCTAGTCGAGACGCCATGATATCCACCCCCCCAGTCCTCACCCCCCTCTTTGCTGCCCCCAAGCATGCTCGGAATTGTGGCCAGCAGCCACGGCGCGGAACGATGGGGGCCGGCCTCGGCCTCCGCGGGCCCTCGCCGTGCCCCCCCGCGGCGGGCAGAAGCGGCTCGCGGGAGGAGGAGAGCCTGCCCGGAGAAACGGGTCGGGACCTCCCCGCGAGCCCCGTGTTGAGAAAAAAACGAGGCATCGGATGTCTGGGCCTGAGCCTTCTGCTCCTTCTGCTCCTTCTCCTCCTCCTCCTCCTCCTCCTCCTCCCTCTCCTCCTCCTGCCCCATCCCTCCTCCTTGGAACAGCTCTCCGCCGCACCACAAGGCGCATCCATAGGCCCGTCTGGGCGTTTCGCGGAAGACTGTTCTGCCTCCTCCTGTCCCGAAGCTGAAAGAACAACTCCAACCGTTGCACGAACTGAGGGCTGGTCGTTTCCAAAATGCACCTCTCGCAGTAGCGCCGCATATGCTCGTATTCAAACAATTCGCACATCTGAATATATGGAGGGCAGTGGTTTACAAAACGTGCCTCTCGCCTTCGCGCAACGCACATTCGTTAAATATTGCAACAATGAGTGGGCAGCGCAACCTGCGTCTTCAAAATGCGGCTCTCGCTTCAGACTTGCTCAAGTTCTACGACCTGGATCCCAGCAGCATCTTGGGCGCAGGTGGTTCGAGGGGCTCGCTTTTCCAACCTCCTCTCTGCCATGGCGGAGAAGCGAATCCCACCACCCCCATCCCTGGGTCCGGAGGGGTTGCTCCGCGAGGGAAGGGAGCGTCCAGGGTGGCCCAAGATGGCCCCGAGAGGGCCAAGCTGGCCTAAGAGGGCCCCTCGAGATCGCACGAAGTAGCCCTCGATGGTTCCTGGGGAAACCAAAAGATACCGATACTGCTACCCCCTGGACCTCTCCCAGGGTGCGTTCTGACCAGAATTTCGAGGCGAATCCAGCGGTGGCGACGAGGGCCTCCGAGGAGGCTTAAAAAGGGAGGTATGGGAGTACCTTTTTCCTTCTCTGTGAGTTCCACGAAGCTTCCAACATGTCTCCAAGACACCTCGACCGCACCAGGTCGGCCTCCTCCTCCTCCTCCTCCTCCTCCTCCTCCTCCTCCTCCTCCTCCTCCTCCTCCTCCCCCCTCCCCCCGCAGAGCGGCCCTGCGCGCGCGGGGAGGGCAGGCCTCCTGGAGCCCTCGCGCCTGGCGCGACAGCGCCACGGCGTCCTCTTCCCCGGGCACGGGGGGGGCAGCATGGAGGAGGAGGAGGAGGAGGAGGAGGAGGAGGAGGAGGAGGAGGAGGAGGAGGAGGAGGAGGGGGAGGGGGGAAGGGGGAAGGGGGAAGGGGGAGGGGGCAGCATGGGTCAGCGTGCCTCCCGCCTGCCGTCTCCTCCACCGGCGACCACGGGCAGCATCCGCCAGAGGTGGGACCCCTCTCAGCGGCCACGGGTTCGAACCATGTTCGAGGATCCACGCGGAGACAAAGGGAAGACGAGCGAAAAGAGCCAGGGAGCATGAGAGACCACGTCAGCGGCCAACCGTTACACTCGCAGCAACAAATCTCGAACAACATATCAGGAGGACACTCGAGCGCATCCCGACCCCTGAGATCGACAAGAGATCCTGAAAGCCAGCATCGAGACAACGTGGTGCCAGTCATAGGGATTGGGATCTGTTTCAGTTTAGTAAGGAGGTGCAGGACTAGGAAGGGTGGTGGTCAGGAGGAGTGGGGAGAAACCATGAAGGGAGAGAGAGAGTTTGAGGGTGTTTGATATTCGCGATCGCGATCGCTTGCCCCAGTGGACGGCGAACATAATGAGAGGGCGGGCCCCCACCCCACATGTAGAACCTTCCCGGCGGCTTCGAGACAAAACCCCAAACCAGAAATCTTCACAAACCATGGCAAGATCGATCAAGATTTAATCGAAAACTCGGATTGACTCGGAATGTGACTCGGATCGGGCCGCATCGGAACGAACATCCAAACCGAGCAGGGTCGGCCGCGCCATGATGCACAGCAACGCTATTGATGCATCCGGGCGCATCAGATCGTCAGAGCACTGGACTCGAACCAGATCAAGCTGGCCAACATCGATAGCGAATCGGATCGAAATGGACCCTGGACGGAAGATGGTCTTGAGGGTTTCCTCTTCCAACCCCCTTCTTCCCCTTCGGGGCGGAGTTAGTTAATCCTGACCCCTCCCCCTACCTCCTCCACCTCGACCTGGATAGGGCGTTCCGCGGGTTGTTGGAGCGTTTAAGATGGCCTCGGCGACAAGGCAAACATCGCGAAGCGTCTAAAACTGGAGGTTTACCATCAAGGAAACCAGTCCTGGCGAAGGTTTTCTTATTCGGCACTTGGACATTGGGCGGAGGGGGGGGGGTCTGGCTCCAGACCTCTGCTCAACGCGACTGTTTGCAACAGTGCGTCCTAGGGGGGAGACCCCACATGCTTGAAGCAGGCGCCCAAAAACAGCCAAGATCGACTCCATGAGGTCGGGGGGGCGGGAGGGTGTGCGAGGGCTCGCGCCGATGGGCAAAACGATGCATCAAAAAACGATCACTCGGGGATCTCCTGACCCGGGTCGGCCCAGACACGGGTCAAGCCAGGCCTTGCAGACTCCTGGAAGCTCCTGCGCCCAAGCCCGGGTCAATGCGCAGAATCCTGCAGGATCCTTTGAGCAGGGACCGGGCGTCCCGGCATTCCTATAGCCCTACCACGACATGTTCGTAGAACCCAAAAATGTTCTAAGAACAGAAACAATGGGATCCTGCACCCAAACACCCGGGTCGGTGCGACCCCGGCCCCGCAGGATCCTGCAGGGTCCGGCGCTCTGGCCGAACCCCGTCGCCTCGGGTCGGGGCCTCCGCCTCGCGGGCCGAGGGGAGCCGCAGGGCCCCCCCTGGGAGCCACGCGGCAGAGGGGTCTTCAGAGGAGGAGGGGGAGGAGGAGGAGGGGGAGGAGGACAAGGAGGACAAGGAGGAGGGGGAGGAGGGAGGGAGAGGGGGAGGAGGACAAGGAGGAGGGGGTGGCGGAGGGAGGGGGAGAGGGAGGAGGCACGGGAGAGGGGGAGGAGGAGGGGGAAGGAGAGGAGGAGGAGAGGAGGAGGAGGAGGAGGAGGAGAAGGAGGAGGAGGCTCCCGAATCACTCCACCATCAAGGGGACCGGTCATGGAGCCAAGGGCTCCGCAAGCGTCTCGCCGTTCTCTCGACCCCCGCGGGACCCCCAACGGGACGAGGGGGAAGCCGCCGAAGAACGGGTGACGAGAGCCCGGCCTGTGGAGCGCCCCCGGGAGCCCGGGGAGATCCCTCCCGCTCGATCCCTCCCTCCCTGCCTGCCTCCCTCCCTCCCT